TGTCTATCGCAACGGTGTTCCATCGATAGTGTCCGGTACTTTACGTCAGAAGCCACAGAGCAATGTACATGTCACTCAGACATAGTAAATTTGAGTGTTGGTGCTGATTTACTGTGTGACACTGCTGATTCATCAAGTGCTCCCCCCTCTCGCTCATTGTGCGGACCTGCTACAGCTGAATTTCACACGTTATCGGTTTATTACCAGAATGTGAGGGGATTGAGAAGTAAATTAATTAATCTTCGGCAATCATTATTATCAGTATTTTATAGTGTTTATATATTTTCTGAGACCTGGTTAAACTTGTCTTTTAATTCATCAGAGCTTGGCTTTTTGAATTATGACATATTTCGTTTAGACAGAAATAGTGATACCAGCGTACATTCACGAGGTGGTGGTGTTTTGATAGCATGTAATTTAATGCTAAATGCCGCGCTTCTAGAGACTAATGACTTTTCAGTAGAACACATTTTTGTAAAATTTTCTATCAAAACAGTATTGTATATTTTGGGGACATTTTATATTCCCCCTAATTCTACCTTTAATGTATACTTAGCTGTTTGTAATATTATAGAAAAAATTTATAATTCTTTTCCTTCAGCAATATTAATTATAATCGGCGATTTTAATATGCCCTTTGTTTCTTGGCGTTTGCATACTGAAAATGGTCCGTCATGTACCTCTAAACTTCGTACATCGAAGAGTTATAACAGGATTGCCAACCGTATATCTGAAACATTTGACTTATTGAATATCAATCAGGTGAATACTTTTACTAATGAAGCTGGTAATATTCTTGATCTGGTACTTTACAATTCTTTAAATTTTACTTTGCATATATCGACTGAGCCTATTTTACCAATAGATAAGTACCATCCACCTCTAGTTTTTACTACAGAAATTAATGTTTCGAGTGATGTTAATGCCATTAATAATAATATTGGTATTTCACGTGGTAAATATGATTTTATTAATGCTGATTTGTGTGGCTTAAATAATTATTTGTTAAATATTAAATGGGATAATGTTTTGAATACGCTTAACATTGATGATGCAGTTTCTATTTTCTATGATATTGTATATTATGGCTTTAACTTATTTGTACCTATAAAAATGTTTACATCATCCAATTATCCATCATGGTTTACTAGCGAGCTAAGGCGATTGGTATCATTAAAAAAAGAGGCTCATCGAAACTATAAACGCTCTAATTCTAATCAAGATTATTTAATATTTTCACAACTTCGTACTGAGTGTAAACGTAAATCTAAGATGTGTTACAAAAATTATATGACCCGTGTAGAAAATTCAGTTATATTGAATCCAAAATACTTCTGGAATTTTGTTAATAACCTGCGCGGAACTTCTAGAATTCCAAATGAGATGGTATATGAACAAATAACTGTTAACACTAATGTAGATATTGCAAATTGTTTTAAAAATTATTTCAGTTCTGTTCACACTCTCCCTTCTGATATTTCAGCTAACGATTTTATTAAAAGTAGTAATTTGATTGATGTGTCTCATATTTCTAAAGAAATAATTTTGTTAAAACTTAAAAATTTGGATATTAACAAAGGGGCTGGACCTGATGACATTCCACCTTCCCTCTTGAGATCTTGCTGCTCCTCTTTCGTTGAACCACTCTACATTTTGTTTAATTGGTCACTTTCCTGTGGCATTTTTCCATTTTTATGGAAACGTGGTTTTGTTGTTCCTGTTTATAAGGACGGAAACAAAAATAATATTACTAATTACCGACCAATACATATTTTAAACACTATTTCCAAAATATTTGAGAGCATCATTCATGATGATCTTTATAGTCAGTTGGAGTCATCAATTATTGAGGAGCAGCATGGTTTCATGAGGGGCAGATCAGTTTTGACAAATATGAGTCTTTTTTCTAATTTTGTACTTAATAGCTTAGATAAAGGTATACAAGTTGATGTGGTCTACACAGATTTTGCCAAAGCTTTTGACAAAGTTGATCATGGTATTCTCTTGGCGAAACTTGAAGCTCTGGGTTTTTCTTCTAATTTACTCAAGTGGGTTACAAGCTACCTTCAAAATAGAACTTTATCAGTACGTGTACATTATGAGTATTCTAACATTTTTATTGCTACATCTGGTGTCCCACAGGGCTCAAATCTTGGACCTCTATTTTTTAAACTTTTTATTAATAACATAAATTTAATATTTAAATTTTGCAAATTTTTATTATTTGCTGATGATTTGAAATTATTTATTAAAATATTCAATGTTAGTGACTACATGCAATTGCAATACGATCTTAATCAACTTCAGTCTTGGTCTGAAAAAAATAAACTTTTTCTAAACATCAATAAATGTAAAGTAATATCATTTTCTAAAACCTCAAATATCATCATTCAAAATTATACTATAGATGGCAGTAAACTTTCTAGAGTGTCCTTGATACGTGACCTTGGGATAATGATTAACGATTCATTTTCTTACATTGATCACATTACTCAAACAATTAATAAGGCTACCAGAGCTTTGGGTTTCGTTATTAGGAATGCAAGAAGTTTTCGTAATTTAACAGCATTGAAAACTCTTTATTTTGCTCTTGTCAGGCCCATACTTGAATTTGCCTCAGTATTGTGGAGACCATATCAAGATTACCTGATAGTTGATATTGAACGTGTTCAGAATCGATTTTTGCGTTTTATAGCTGGGCAAATTGGTATGCCTGTAGATTACCAGAATCATGATTACACAGACTTGCGTGAGGCATTTAAAATACCATTATTATCTCAAAGATTTATGTATGCTGACTTATTATTTTTGTTCAAAATTATTAACGGTATTATTAACTGCTCAGAACTTTTACTTTTGTTTGGTTTTCATATACCACAAAGACCCGCAAGACATCCACAATTATTTAATGTTCCTTTTTGCAGAACTGACTATTTAGATAATTCTGTAATTAACAGATTACGTAGGGAGGCAAATCAGTTCAATAGTAATGTTAATTTTTTTGGTATTTCTTTAAACTCTTTCATAAGAGAACTTCGTAACCTATTGTACGATAATAACAACAATAATGTTAATGCGGCCAACTAAATTTTTTAATTATTATAAAATTTCTTATTATAGTACTTTGTACGAATGGGTTCTACCCGTATACATTCAATAAATAAATAAATAAATAAATAAAGAAATAATTTTAAAAAATAACTTATAATTAAGAATAAAAAAATGTACTTAATATGTTAAATTAAATAGTAAAAAAATGAAAAAATAATTGTTATTTATTTTATTTTATTACTAGCAATATTAAACGCGCGCAAGCGCGCCAAATTGAGTATTTAATTATTTCTTATAGAGAAATTAAAAATTAATATTATCAATAATTATTTAAATTTATTAGAATATTATTCCATATTAAATGATAAAAATAAAAATTATATGTTTATAGGCCTCAGATTATTAATTATTAAATTTTAAATTCAAAATCTTTTAAAATTCAATTATTTTCCAAATTTTCAATTTAAAATCAAATAAAATTCAATTATTACCCAAAATTTCCATTCAAAATCAACTAAAATTCACTTATTTTCCAAATTTTCAATTTAAATTCAAATAAAATAAAATTATTTTCTAAAATTTCATTTCAAAATTAATTATAAAAAATCTATTAAAATTGAATTATTATTTAAAATTGTAATTGAAATTTAATTATTTTCCAAAATTTCAATTCAAAATCCAAGACAATTCAATTATTTTCCAAATTTTTAATTTAAAATCTTTTAAAATTCAATTATTTTCCAAATTTTCAATTTAAAATCACATAAAATTCAATTATTATCCGAAATTTTAATTTAAAATCAACTAAAATTCAAATATTTTCCAAATTTTTCTATTGAAAATTAACAAAAATCCAATTATTTTCCAAAATTTCAATTCCAAAATCAACTAAAATTCAATTATTTCCCAAAATTTTAATTCAAAATCAAAGAAAATTCAATTACTTTCCAAATTTTTAATTCAAAATCTTTTAAAATTCAATTATTTTCGTAGTTTAAAGAAAAATCAACTAAAAATGAATTATTATCCAAAATTTTAATTGAAATTTAATTATTTTTCGAAATTTCAAATCAAAATTAAAGAAAATATAATTATTCTAAAAAATTTGAATTCAAAATTAATTGAATTTTCAATAATTTGAATTTAAAAGCATCTAAAATTTAATTATTTCTAAAATTTTCCATCGAAAATTTTTTGAAATTTAATAATTTCAATTATAACTCTAAGGGAATTTAATTATTTTTAAATATTTTTATAATATTCTTTGAAAATTCAACTATCTGAAACCATTTTTCAATTAAAAATGATTATCAAATTATTGTATTTTGTATGTAATTTCTAATAAATTTTTTAGTGAAATCATATAAAATTTTAATTAAAATCACTTGAAGTTCAATTAATTTCTAAAATCTTAATTTTAAAACTTTTGAAAATTCAATTAAATTTAAAAAATGTTTTCCAAAAATTTTTTTGATAAATTATTTTTAGTTCTGTAAAATTTTATTATTGTTTGAAAATTAACAATATCTTTTGAAATTTAATTATTTCTAAAATTTTCAAGTTTAATTTGACACAAATTTGACACGACATAAGATTACTATTCTAAAAACACGTGAAATCATAAAAGACCAACTTCAAGTTAGGACAGAAGGACAGACCAAGCATTTTATTATTATATAATTATTATTTTTTACTAAAAAAATTTACAAATTGCACTCTAAAAAATTGTTTGAAAAATGTTTAATATTTCTTGCTTATGATTTTAGATAATGAATCAGAGTTGCAAAAAAAAATTACAAAATTGCAAAAAAGTTTAAATGAGAGTAAAATTTCTCGAAAGAAAAGGAAGGCCAAAGAAGACCTTACAGAATTAAATAAAGAGAATGTTGAATCACAGGACAATGGAACAGACAGAAAAGTATCTACTCGTCAAAGTAGACAGAGGAAAGCAACAGAAGCATTGAAGAAAGGTAACAAAGAGGATGAAGAGTCGAAAAAGAAGGAAAACGCGAAAAAGGTATATAGTGATGTTTTATCGAATTTATGTTTATATGTCATTTATTTATTCATGTGTTTAATGTATTACAATCATATGCATTTTTTTAGAAAAACGAAAAACGATTAAAAAGAGAAGCAAATGTTCTTAGCAGCAAAGAGATTCTGAAGTCTCTAGATGAAGAATCATATGAAAATTCTGCTTTATTCAGAATCGAAAAGAAAGCAGACGTGGCACTGCGCATAACCAGAAATTTGATGAATGTACTAGAATTGCTTCAAAAAGTAAGTAAAATTAAAATAAATTAAATTTTAAAAAATAAATTAAAAAATGAATAAAATAGTACGTTGTGTGGTAAGGGCGTAAAAAGTAGCGCGATCAAAACTCATGTGAGTTTGTCGCATGATCGATGCGAGTGAGGCAATCACATAAGAGTAGAGATTCTCTTATTATCACCCATGCCCCACACATAGTTTTTTATAACATTTTGCGTCCAAAACTGCGATTTGGTCGAGTTTTTGGCGCTAGGTGTTATAAAAATATATTATCATAATTAAAAAATTTTTTTAATCGTTTCAGGAGATCACTGAGTTCAAATCAACGGATGTTGCAGCTTCATCAAACAGCTTTGCTTCAACTAGCAAACTTTTGGATTTCACTAGTGAAATTCTTGCTCCAACTAGTAATCTACCTGCTTCTGCTAATGAATTTCCCGCTTTCACTAATGAAGAGCCTGCTTCCACTAATGAGTTTCCCGCTTGCACTAGTAAAGTGCCTCCTATTAGTAAATTGCTTGCCTCCACTAGTGATTTTTCAGTTTCTACTAGGAAAGCGTCTACTTCCACTAGTAAAGTGCCTGCTTCCAATAGCAAAGCGCCTGCTTCTACTAGTAAAGCGCCTGCTTCTCCTAGTAAAGAGCCTGCTTCTACTAGTAAAACGCCTGTTTCTACTAGGAAAGTGTCTACTTCCACTAGTAAAGTGCCTGCTTCTGCTAGTAAAACGCCTGCTTCTACTAGCAAAGTGCCAGCTTCTACTAGTAAAACGCCTGCTTCTACTAGTAAAGCGCCTGCTTCTACTAGTAAAACGCCTGCTTCTACTAGTAAAGCGCCTGCTTCTAATAGTAAAACGCTTGCTTCTACTAGTAAATCGCCTGCTTCTACTAGTAAATCGCCTGCTTCTACTAGTGAATATTCCGCTTCAACTAGTAAGCCTCCTGATTTCACTAGAAAAGTGTCTGCTTCTGTTAGTAAACTTCACGCCTCAACTAGTAAATTTCCTGCTTTCACGTTCAACACAACAAAAAGCTTGGTTCCTCAATACGAAACTGACGAGGATGAAAACGAAGAGTTTGAAAATTTTAACGCGCCCTGGAATGAACTGGATTTTACAAATGACAATGATAGCTTTGATTTATCTACTCAACTTTCTGCTTCCGCCTCCAACACTGCGGATGCTAAGGATAATCAAGATTTAAGTCAAAATGAGATCTCAAAAGATGATGATGAAGACGAAGAAGAAGAAGAAGAGGAATTAGATAATGATGATGATGATGATGATGATGATGATGATGATGAAGGAGATGAAGAAGATGATGATTATGAAGGAGAAGAAAAAGAAGATGATGATGAAGGAGAAGAAAAAGAAGATGATGATGATGATGAAGGAGAAGAAAAAGAAGATGATGATTATGAAGGAGAAGACGATAATGAATCTGACAATGTGGAGGACGAAAACGAAGGCAAAAGAGAGAAAAAGAAAGAAGAAATTTTTCTTTTTACGAAAGAAAATGGTGAAAAGGTAAGGAAAAATTATATGTCAATCATAAAAGTTTTCCTTTTTATCATTAAAAAATCTTGCTATATGTTGAGTTTTTAATTCCTTAAAAATAAACTGTTTATTGTTTTTTTATATATATTTTTTTATTTACAAATAATAAATATATAAATTTAAATAAATAAATAAACAAACTTTATATAAAAATACATTTAAAATTTCAAGTTTCCATAATTTACATGTTTGAAGTGTATTTTTTAAGTAAATATTACTTAATATATTAACTAAATTATTTATTTGAATATAGGCTGTTGAATTAATTAATGGCAGCGATGTTTATATTGAAAAAAGTGCGCTGAAGAATGCTAGGGCGACATCATCTGTTCAGACGACATTGGCGAGACAGTTAATGTGTTCAATTTTTACCCAGAATGCTTTGTTGAAATATTCGTTATGTGGAAAAGGAAAATTAAAAACAAGAAGAGATGGTTTGCCTCCCCACGCAATTCGTACCATTTTAAGTAAGTTTACTTTTTAAATTATGAATTATTTTTTTAAAATCAATTATATATTCAGATAAAGAGTTACCACAAATTATCGAGGTCAGAAAATTGTGAGGAAAAATGTCAGGGAACATGTTTTTGGCAGGAAAATCAGGAAATGTCGAGGAAAAAATTTTTTTCAGGAAAATTTTCGAAATTGAATAAAATTTAAAATAAAAAACAAATCAAATTAAAAAAATAATAACAAAATTTTATTAAGTAGAATATTAATAAAATAAATTGCGAAATGTTTTTTTACTATTATATCATTAGATTTTTGTTAAAATTTGTTATCTACAATAAAAAATTTTGGACAGGAAAAAATATTTTAATGTCAGGAAAAAGTCAGGGAAATATGGAAGACAAAAAATATCTCTAGAATATGAGAGAAATTAAAACGAACATACGGCTTTCAAAAAATAAATTGTTAAAAATTTTGTCAGTATCTTAAATTATAAAAAAAAATTTCATTGTTAAATTTTCTACAGAATAGAAAAGACAATAAATTTTACAACAAAATAATTATATTCTCTATTATATTTCAGAATATGCCAGGGCAACCGCAAAGCATGCACAGTGGACAGTTCTCGATAACCAATCTGTCAAAGCTAGTCTTCGTTGCAAACTGCGAGAGGTGCAATTAAAATCATCAAAAAATTAATATTTTAATTATTTAATGCAATTTTCAATATTATTCAACATTCAATATTCAATAAAATATTATTATTATTAAATATTATAATTTTTATTATTAAATATTATAATTTTTATTATTAACTATTATAATTTTTATTATTTAATATTATAACCAAGGCCAACTTCCCCGAGGAAGACGCTGGTTAATGTCCTGGACATCGGAGGGACGCCCGGAGCCTTCCTGGATGTGCAGAGACAAAAACCAAGGCTAACTTCCCCGAGGAAGACGCTGGTTAATGTCCTGGACATCGGAGGGACGCCCTGAGTCATCCTGGATGTGCAGAGACAAAAACCAGGGCTAACTTCCCCGAGGAAGACGCTGGTTAATGTCCTGGACATCGGAGGGACGCCCGGAGCCTTCCTGGATGTGCAGAGACAAAAACCAGGGCCAACTTCCCTGAGGAAGACGCTGGTTAATGTCCTGGACATCGGAGGGACACCCTGAGCCATCCTGGATTTGCGGAGAATAAAAACAGGTTTTACGAGTTTACCAGAAAATTAATTTTTTTTCAATAGTCGCACTATTGATAAATTGTCGTTTTATTTTCAATAGTGACTATCGATAGTCACTCTCCAAAAATTATCAATAGTCTATCGATAATTTTTTCACCTGGGAAGGGTGTACTTCCGAAGTAGGGGTACCTCCGATCTTAATGAAACTTGGCATACTAACGTATTTTGGTGCGCTGATTACGAAAATGATAGTGAAAATTGGCGCAAATTTGATTATCATGGTAAAAACCATAAAAAACACCATAAAATAATGTTTTTTTACGATTATCTCGTAAAAAACAAAAAATTTCGAAAAAAGTTTTAGACAAAAGTTGTAGATCTCAAAAAAACACACATTTTATGTTTTATGCATTTTTTACCAAAAGTCATTATTTTTCGAGAAAAATCCAAAAAACGAAAAACACCATGATAATGAAAACATATACAGCAGTCATGGTTAGACATATTATTTGACTCGTATATAGTATCATATTCACTATTAGTCAGGATCTAACGAATTCCGGAAAATACTTTCGGCCATATCCACCCCCTCTCGCCAAGGTTTTTTTTTAAAAAGAAAAGCGAGCAGTACCTTACGCGGCCGAAGGCCGTGTTTACTATTTTGCGTTTACCGCTGCTGTGGACTCCACCCCACAATTTCCGCAAATTACTTTCGGACACATCCACCCCCTTTCGCCAAGATTTCTTAAAAAGAGAAGCGAGCAGTACCTTACGCGGCCGAAGGCCGTGTTTACTATTTTGCATTTACCGCTGCTGTAGACTCCACCCCACAATTTCCGCAAATTACATTCGGACCATTTTTCTCGAAAATAATGACTTTTGGTAAGAAATGCATAAAACATAAAATGTGTGTTTTTTTGAGATCTACAACTTTTGTCTAAAACTTTTTTCGAAATTTTTTGTTTTTTACGAGATAATCGTAAAAAACCATTATTTTATGGTGTTTTTTATGGTTTTTACCATGATAATCAAATTTGCGCCACTTTTCACTATCATTTTCGTAATCAGCGCACCAAAATACGTTAGTATACCAAGTTTTATTAAAATCGGAGGTACCCCTACTTCGGAAGTATATCCTAACATAAGAATATCTTCGCCTAAAAATCTTACTCTTCTTTCTTTCTGTTTTCAAAATAAAAAAAATATGTATATACCAGTATTAGACTCTCAGAACAATTACCACAAACAATACCAATCCTTGGACAATAGAGCCTTTGTTAATGAAGATTAATTCTGAGGGGCCAGGTAATAATTTTTAAATTTTTTTATTAAAATTTTCTGGGGCTCTAATACAGGTAGGGGAGAGTGATAAACAGTGGGACAGTTTAAACAGTAGGTCACTTTAATTTTCTGAAAAACTACTAAAGAAACTCGACCAAAATTTAAATGTAAACCATGTTTATGACAACACACTATCTATACGCATGCGCATTTATACTTACACAGCGACTAAAAATGTGATTTTTTATGCTAAAAAACATTAAAAAATTCAAAATTTATAATTATTACAATTATTGTTCGGCAACATTTGAAAAATAACACTTGATAAGAGAACGACTATTCAAATTTTCCTCCAAATTGTTTTTATGTTATGACGAAATTATGACGTATGATCAGCAGTACTGTAAACGTAAAAAAAATAATAACAATTTTTTATATAAAACTTGACATCGTATTATAAAAATGTAAAATATTATTAAAATATAAGTGTTTTGCAACATTTGTTAACGTTATTTAATGCAAAACATATATATTTATAAAGTATGAAGCAGAATATTATTATTGAAACAAATATTCATTATTTAATAATAGGTGTCCCACTGTTTAACACAAACCTTGAAAACAAGAAAAATGTATCAAGTTCCAAAAACTTGAAATTTTTCTATTTAATCACAATATAATTTAAATAGAATATATGCATTATGTGGAAAAGAGTTCAAACTTTATGGTAATACCAAAAAGTGGACAAAAATATATAAAATTGAAAAAAAGTGATCTTATGCCATTTTGAATTGTCTAGATAGAGAAACGTAATGTTAAACGAAGAAGTACTTATGTTATATTCCTTGGTGTAAGAAAGAAAGGTATGCGTTACCTATTCAGTTTTAGACTTTCTTTATAGTTTTTTCACGTGATAAAGGGAGAAAGAAATTATTACCTGGGTCCTCAGAGTTATTAATTAATCCTCTTTAAAAGATTGCAGGTCAAGCGAACCCTCATTTTTTGCAAAATAAAGATATATCTTTCTCTCTCCATAACTTGTTCCTTTCTCTGTCACCGAAAACCCAGCAGGGGTCCGGACGGAATGAATGAATGAATGAATGAATACCAAGATTATTATAGTTAATTTGCCATATTTTAGAATTGTCTTTACGACTTTCTGCTGTTGTTCAGGTAAATCTTTTATTTTCTGCATCATTGAATCTTCATTTATTTGAGAATATTTCTTAATCAAACTATCAATGTGTTGCTGCATATTTTCTATCTGTAAAATAGAAAACATTAGAAATAAGACAAAGTGAATATAATTTTTATTTTAAAGAATAAAAATCAATCATGAATTATGCCAACCTTTTTCATGGATTGGCCTAATCTGTCTTTTATTTTCCTTTTTTTAAAATTTTTTTACTTCTCAAAATTAAAGTCCTGGCTGCACGATCATTTTTATACTTTTCTCGCTTGAAGATTCTTTTGCACTCTGCATTCATTACCCTGATTGTGCGATTTTGCTACGTAAAAACCATTTTTACATAGTCCTTTCCAAGCTTCTTCGCACAAATTCAAGGTAACTATTTTTATCATTGCTTTTTATCATTCTCCAACACTGGATATTTTGCGATGTTATTATGAGCTATAATCTTGAAAAAAGATATCAAATGATAATCATAAATAAAAGTAATAATTATAAATAATTCTTTTATATATTTTTACATTTTTGCAGAATTACAATGTTGAAATCTACATTATTTTTTCCAGAATTAATTGAAGCAAATATTAAATATTTAATGAAATAACTAAAAAATTAAATAACTTACTTTGACACTCATATATGTTTTAACAAGAATTGATCTTGAAGCAATGCTGTCCACATCTCCAACGTAAACAAATAATAGTCCAGCATCAGTATTATGCTCCCCCCAATGATCAGGAAACTGAGACGTATTTCTAAAATTCCAGTCTTTAAACAAACTCTCAATTGAGTATTTATCTTTTGTTTGCATGGGAGAATCCACTTTATAAGGCAGAGTCATAATGCGTTTCAAGTTGTCAACTTTACGTTTACTAATTGAAGACAAATCTCTCTTTGCTTTGATCTTATTAGAATTAGAATTTTTATTCTTACTAGGAGCAACATTCGGCAAGTCACGCTGTAAAATTAATCATAATATTCATAAAAATATACTAAAATGTAATTAGATTTAAAATATAAAAAAAATTTTTTAATGTAATATAACCTCAAAAATTGATGGAATTATTTCCGTCTTTAAACAAAATTATTTTATTGTTATAAAAACAATTTTTTTCAAAGTGTAATTCACATACGAAAATGTTTACTCTATTATACCGGCCTCTGTTTAAATTGTCGCCAATGCTACTCAACCATTTATTTCTATCTTCCTGAATTTAAAAAGAAATTGCAGTCAATGCAGACAGTTTATATGTATAATGTTTAAGAGTGTCCACTAATTTTATATATATCTTATCAATATATAATTTTATATATATATATATATATATATATATATATATATATATATGTGCATACCTGTATTAGAGTCCCTGAAAATTTTAATAAAAAAATTTAAAAATTATTACCTAAGTTCTCAGAGTTAATCCTTATCAACAAAGGTTCTATTATCTAAGGGTATTGTTCCATGTAATAAATGGGAGAAAAGAAATTATTACTTGGGTCCTCAGAGTTAATTCTCATTGATTATTTAACAAAGGTTCTATTGTCCAAGGGTTGCTTTTTTGTGGTAATTAATCCGGGGTTTTAATACAAGTGTATATATATGTATATATGGTATCTGTAATGAACTACTGATTAATCATATAAGAGTGTCCTTTTGCACTTATTGGCTGATCAGTAGTTACTCATTCATAGTTCTCTCATTCTATTGGATATTGGTAGTTGTATTGGATAAAAGGCAAAATTTGTTATATTGAATTAAAGGCAAAATTGGTTATATTTAATAAATGGAAAAATTTGTTATATTGGAGAGAGTGAGCGAGAGGATTAAAGATATTTAGATTTTCATGAATCAAAAATAAAATTAAACGAAGTATACTATGGCCAACATAAAAGAGTATGTTATTTTGAGTGATGAAGATTTAAAAATTGTTAAAAATAGAAATAAATTGTTAAATGACATGCATATGTACAAATTTGAAGATTTATTAAGAAAAGATTCCAATTCTTTTTTCAATATGCAAAGTACTTATACTTTTATA